ACTCTCGATACAATCAGCCAGTCCAAACTGGAAAAGACAGAACCTCTGGTTCAGTGACCATTATCGTGCTGTAAAGCTTATCTGTTTCCTGCCAGCATCAGCTGCCAAAGAGCTCTTTGCAGTGCACTGACTGGCTGTAAATGCTCCTGTGAGATACTGCACACGAGATCTGCCAGCGAGCTCAGTGAAAGCTGAAACGATCCACGGGAACATCTCTTCAGCAGCCGCCTCTATGCCAGGAGTCAGCACTTCGTGAACGTTTCAGAGGAGCTGTTACAGGAAGAGCTCTCCTTTACATGCAGTACTTGTTTGCCCTTCCCTTGTTATGCTTAGTCATCAGCCTAGGAGCAGAGAAACTTCATGTGACTTCAGTGAAGTGTTTGCTGTGTGCTCATTGCTTTCACTTGGGTTATATATTTTACATGTTTTGGGGTGGGTTTTTTTTTGGGGGGGTGGAGGGAGCAGGTGGAGGGAGAGGTAGGGGGGTGGGAATAACCAATTCAATGAGTAACCAGTCTGTAGTAAAAAGGAGTATTTCTGCCCAGCCTGTCTTTTGCAAAAGGCAACTGTGTGAAACTGATAATAGCCTTCTGACTAGTCACAGTTGCTAGCCAGCAGTTTCTTCATTTGATATCAGTGGGCCCATCTGTTAGGTTTTATGTTTTTCTTGTTATCTCTTGACAACTTTCTCTCTGTTACTCAGTACACAGAACACAACTATTCGTACTAAGATGTAGGCTTTACAGTTGCTTGCTGCTGAATGGAATCCTGGTCAAGACCATCACTCATACCTAGTTCAGCATTTGAATTTCTGCAAACCATTTCCGACAGATTTTTCACCTATATTTGTCCATGATGTTAACGGTGGGTGTGTTCTGCTCTGCTTGGGCAAATGCACAGCTGGAGGGGGAAAAAAAGCAATTGCTTTGTTTCCTGGCTCACTGCATGAGGCAGAAAGTGGCAACTTCCTCTGACGCAAGTCCCCTGCTCCTACCACTGTGCATCCTCACCAGCCTTGTTAGAGCCTCACCAGGGTAAGAAACAAAACCACTTGTGGGTCTTGGCTCGCCCACCACCCTGTGCTGTGCTCCATGGTGGTATATGATTGTTTGAAGTAGAAGGAGAGGATCCCTTTGCAGGGAGATACCGTCTCAGTTGAGTCTTGTATCAGACACTGACCTTGGAGAACGTAAGGACATGTCCCATGTAGTGAGATGATGCTGGGTTAGCCTTAGCACAAGGCCGGGTAGTGAATGTCAGGCAGGCGCCTGTGAGTTTCAACAACCAAGCATGGACAGTATCATCAAGGCACATGGCCCTGCAGTGCCATCAGGGCCCTCTGCTATTGATGTTTCCTCTTGGCCTTTCTGCCGCACAGCTCCTCTGGCCTTGGCAGTGAGCTGGGTCCTGCTTTCTGGCAGGAGCAGTTTTATCGCTTGGTGCACCAGTTTCTTCTGCAGCACGTGCTGCTGAGTTGGAGCGTGTATGCTGTCCTGCTGTCACGGGGGACCCCTCTGAAGGGGGCACCTGCTAGGCAGGATCACCTCTGAATTTGAACTTGGAGAGGTGGAGACAGTGCTCAGAAAGAAGACCCTCAGTCCAGGGACCATCTAGCCTAAGCTATCCTGATGTCAGGGCCTGGGTGGCTGGTGTAGAAAAGTCTGCGATAGGAAAAGAATGGTCTTTCCTGAGTGCCTGCGTGCTGTGGGGAAGTGAGGGCTGTTCGTGGAAGGGGATGGGCTGGTTTCGATTAGCGTGTGAAATAAAACAGCCGTTCTCAGGGCCCTGCTGTGGCTGGCCCGTCCCTCCCCTCACAGGTAGAGCAGGCAGGTGGGCACCAGCCTGGTAGTGAGCAGGAGGAAGCGAAAATGTTCCACCCGTTTGCTCAGCTCAAGGCTTTGGCTGTGTTTGAGATGACAGAGCCCTGACAGGTTTGCTGCCTTCTCCTCCTGCAGCTGTTCTGTTGTTCCCAGAGGTGTCCCAAACCTCACGGGTCTGCTACACATGCTTCGGGGTGACTGCAAAGCAACAACCTCCTTCACCCGTCCCCTGATGAAATCAGACTCAAGGCTAAGCTACCAGGAGAGGCTAGCAGGCATCATTGGCCCCAAAGCGGAGCTGCTGAGCCCCATGGCCGGTAATGAGCTGTCTTGAACTTGTCTCTGCCTCTCCTCGCTTCCCTTTCCTTGCAGCTCTTCCCCATCCGTGAAGAGACACTGCTTTCTCCTTGGCTCTGACTCACCATGGCCAAGCCCTGGCTCTTTGTGCTGGAGCTCAGTAGCCTGGAGAGCTGCTTCTAGAAGCCTCTTTCAGGCAAGAGCCAGTGGGCTTTTGAGCTGACCATGACTGCTCTCCATGGCCATGCTCATTGTATCTGTGTTCAGGGCTTGGACACCTCCATGACCCCTTTTATTTTTCCAGACTTCCCATGGAGGTTTGTACACTGGGTCCTCAACTGCCTTTTCACAGCCAGGCTCTACAGGTGGGCTATCAGCGTCCCCCTTCCCTATATCACTTACCTGCCATGGGAATTGGGAGCTGCTCTGGATCGGAAGCGCCCAGCAGCGTCCCACAAACGTGTCACTGAGCAGAGGTGTGGGGAGCTGCACTTGCGCTGGGTCTTTCTGTGCCGTCTCTGCTCTGTCTTAGGTTATCACATGTCCCTGGGAGGAAACCTCAGCAAAGAGCAGGCGGCGTTTGGTATCTTCCCCGACCACAGCCAGCTTGTTACATGCTGTATCCTGGGCTGCTGAGCTGTCCAGGTTAGGCCACAGTATGTTTCCTGTTCCTGAAGTGACATTTTATTTTTAGACGTATTTTTCTATGACTGATTTTCAAAGTAATTCCTTATGTTCCCTGTCCCACTCCCACCTCTTCCACCATTTTATCTTTGTTCCTCTAGTTCCACGTGGGCTTGTGTGCCGCTGCCCAGCTGTAAATCTGGCAATGTCTCATCCGCCTGGGTTTGGCATCTGTATACCTTCTGCAGTGATGCTGAGCCTGCCTGCCTGGGGGAACAGCAAACTGCTGGCCTTCCAAAGGAGGCTGATACATACAGAATCACAGAATTGATTTGGTTGGAGGAGACCTCTGGGATCATTGAGTCCAACCTTAGCCCTAACACCTCCATGTCAACTAGCCCGTGGCACTAAGTGCCACATCCAGTCTTTTCTTAAACACCTCCAGGGATGGGGACTCCACCCCCCCCCTGGGCAGCCCATTCCAATGCTTAACATGTCAGTTCCTGTATCTTTTCCCCTATATCCTCAGTCTTAAATGTACACCACCACACCCTGTGGTCTCGCTATGAACAGGCCAAACCATGGGCTAGACTAAGACCAGATCATGGCTCACATATCAAGGGAAGCTATCCCTGCTGCCTGCCTGCACTGGGAGTAGCAGACCCAGTATTGAACCCTGAGTTCAAGAAGAGGGATGTGGGAGAAGGACCAGCAAAGGGTGACCGAGAGGGTCATGGGCCGGGCGTGCAACCTACGAGGAGTGTTTATGGGAGCTGTGCTGGTTTTGTCTGGTGAAGAGGAGGAGAAAGCTGACCTAAGAGCAGGCCACAACTACTTGAAGGACAGTTTTGCTGACAATGGAGCCAAATTCTTCCCAGCAATGGCAGAAAAGATAGTGAAGGCCAATGGCCACATAAACAGCGTCAGAGATGCAGGCTGGGCATTAGGAAACATCTTCTCTGGGAGGGTGGTGCAGCCCTTTGACAGATCACCAGAGGGGTGGAAGGTCTCCATCCTTGTAGGTTGCCAAGACCTTGACACGTCTGACTTGCTCTGGTGCCAAGGATAGTCCATCTCCAAGTGTCAGTTTGGCCTGACGTCCTCTAGATGTTCCTGCTGCTCTGACACCCGGCATGGCATGCTGAAATTGCCTTGTGCAGGGGGATTCTCCGTGTGCTAGTGTTCTCTGTCCCTCAGATTGCTTCATCCTGTGCTGAATAACAGGAAACACAAATTCCCGTTAAGTGCGGCTGACTTCCGCAGCTGGAGTTAAAGCAGAAAGACCTCTTTTTCTGCATCATCTACTTAAAAATACCTTTCTCCAAGTTTCATTTCTACATTAAGTCTCATTCTGCTCCTAGCCTGCAGCTTCAGTTTGATTCATAGGGCAAGTTAAAGGAAAATCCTTACAAAGAGGAAGCTCATCGGGAGCAGCAGCTCCCAGAACTGCCATTTCCACCTTGACAGCCTGTGGGGCTGGCAGCTGCCAGGACCATGCTCAGCTGCTTGGGTGAAGGATGGGGCCCCTCTCTGCGGGAGAGTGAGATGGGTGCTGCTGCCTGTCCCGGACATGTGGGAATTTGGCTCTGCCTTTCCCATGGCTGATGCTGCCGCAGCAACACAACTCCAGACCCACTGACTTCCCTCTCCTCCACATACTTGAACGCAGCCAGGGCGTGGTGCATGGGATGTGCGGGGGACAAGTGTGGTCTGAAAGCCCAGAGAGGAGCAGGATGAAGGTACCTGTGTGTTTATAAGGGGTGAGGGCTGTCTGGACACAGCCCTTCGCTTTCTCTGGCATGGTCCACCCAGACCTGCCCTCTGCTGCATGGCACCATTGCTCTGTCTGGCCCCAGCCACAGAGGAGCAGGGCAGGCTGGTCCATGTGAGATGTGCCGTGGGCACAGCCTGCATAGGACAGGCTGGAGCGTGGGTCCGGGCAGGACAGCACTGTGGCAGAGCTGGGGGGGTCCATGCCTTTACCCACCCTTAGCACCGGCAGCACCACCAGGGCCTGGACTGGGAGACACCAAGGCTGTGATGGGTGATGGGGTCCAGGAGGAGGATTGTCCCAGCAGCGCGTCAGTCCGTGCAGGCTGGAGAGCTGCCAGCAGCGTAGGTCTCTGACCAGAGAGGGAACTTACCACTGCTAGAAACAGAAGTGAAAGGCAGGCAGAAGTGAAAGCAGAGCCCAGAACTGCTTCCCACGCGGTGCCCCTCTCTGCAGAGTGCCCCAGAGCACCCAGCAGCAGCACAGCCATGGAGCCCCTCTCCTTCCAGGAATACGTCTGCTCCCTGGACCCCACCACCCTGCCCCGCATCCTCAGGATTTGCTCTGGTGTTTACTTCCAAGGTGAGTGCTGGGTTCCTGCTGCCTCCAAAGGGTGCCCCAAGGCTGTGCCACCTCCCCCGGCCATGCCACTGCAGCCCTGGCTTCCCCGTCCCACCCTGAAGATGGCCGGTCCCCTGCCACTGGGCTGCCTGTGGCCCAGGAGAGGCACAGGTCCTCATGCCGCCACCAGGTGCTGGTGCGTAAGGCACAGCTTCTTGCAGAAATCTTTCTCTTCTACACCCAGTGCCCACCCAGCTGACTGTCCCAGTGCCTTCAGTCATGCTGCCAGGAAAGCGGTGGGGCACCATGAAACATCCAAGCTCGTCTTCCACTTCATGCACGGCTCTCATGAATTACCTGCTGGCGGTCGATCTGCCAGGGATGGAGCCACGTGCTTGGTGGCTGGAGGAAGGTGGGATGGCATTGCCCCTGGCCCTGGAGCGAGGAATCCAACAAGGGTGCAGAGAGCAGCCTGGTCTGAGCTCTCTGCTTTCTCCTGGGCCATGTCCCTGGAGATGTCTTAGGTCAAGGAGAAGCCTTGACCAACATGGCTCCCTCAGCTAGTGGTAATGGTGGTGGTGAAATGGAACCAGAGCTTAGCAAATGGTTTTACTGGATTTTTGGGGCTCCCAAAAATCCTAGGAATGCAGAGCAGGATCCTGGCAACACCAATACTACAATTGCCATCAAGACTTGTAGGATTTGTGGCATTTGTTTACGTTATGCTGACTTTTAAAGAGCAGAAGTGGTTGGGGTGGTCTCACTCTGCTTCTCTGTAGCTCAGTTGGTGTGGATGTTTAGCTTTCCCAAGGACTTCTGGTGGCCTTGGTAACATCCTAGCGTTCCTAGATAAGCAAAAATGCTGCTGTTCCAACAGTGTTTGTCATGTTCCAACATGTTTGTCATGAGTTCATCCCAGGGAGGGGAGAAGTTTGGGGCTGCACACGTTTGATAGCAGCTCAGTGAATGCAGAGATTTAAGGGCAGAGGGGGGCATTGCTTGTGTTGGAGGGTATCGTGATGTGGTAGCATAGCCTGAGGAGCTCCTGCTCCAGGAAAGGCTCCAGCTCCAGGAAAGGTACATCTACCCCTGTCCCTTTGCAGCGTGATCAAGCACTGAATCTTTCCTGCTGCCTTTCTCACCCAAGTTACGTTGGTCCAGCCTCCAGCCATTCCTGTGGTGCTCTTCTGCACTGCTTTTCTCCTCTGTTATGACCACGGCACAGTTAACAGCACTGAAAGCTTTCCAGGTTGTGGGCTGTACACTCAGGTATTCCTGACTCCTTAGAGATACGCATCAGCCCAACAACGACCCCTCAGCCAACCTCCTGGTTGGATATTCCCTTGGCAGCTGGTAAACAGTGCTGGACCTTGCAGACAGATCGGAGTGCCCTGGGGATCAGTCAGTGTTGCACCCTGCAGATGTGCTGTCCTGCACTGATGATATTTCTTGAACATTTCTGGATTTCCTGTCATTACTGGAGATCTTACTACTTCTGGCTTTTTGTTAGCAAAAATTTGGGTGGGTCCCCAAGGCATTAAACAAAGCTGCTGCTGGTCTCAGCCCCTTCTTGGGCTCCTCTCCCAGCCACACATCCCTTGCCTCCTCTATGTTCTGGATCCTGCTTTATGTTGTAAAACTGCTTCGGCTTGGTGCTGGGGTGCAGCTGAAGAGTGCTTTGGGGTCCTGCACAGATCATCCACAGCCACATTTGTCTTGTTGCCAGCCAAGGGGCCCAGCCGTGCCATGTGTGCAGAGTTAACCGGGTCTCCGCACCCAGGGTGTGAGGCATCTCTGCTCCGGGCAGTGCAGCCCGGCTGTGTGTTTCCTCCCTTTTCAGACCATGCTCATGCTGTCACAGTGTGACAGAGTACAAGAGGGCTGGAGGAGGGGGACTGGAGCTTACACAACATACAATACTTTATGAAACTTCCTAAATTTCATCCACCTCTTCCTGTGGTTTATTTTTTCACATTTATTTCCACTTCGAGGTTCCCCTCGCTCCTGGGGACAGACACTCTTCTGACCAGTCCCACCCCACTGCTCCCACCTGCGCTCTGCGGGTGAGCGGTGGTCAGTGGTGCCGCAGTGCCTGCAGCAGTGTCCGTCCCTCTACAGCCTGGGTGGCAATATGCAGCCCATCTCTGATGGCATGTCCAGCCTTGGCCCCATCTCTCCTGCCCAGACCTGCCAGGGTGGCTCTCTGTGCCAGGGCCCTAAACCAACATATTCCCACCGTGGCCAAAGGCACCAGCTTGCCGCGCTCACCAGGTGAATCTGTGCCAGCCCCCACCTCTGCTCACCGCTGAGCCTGCAGACCAGCTCTGCCCTTCCTGAAATAGCTGCCCTCCTTCCTCTGCGCCCTCCACCCCCATCCCATGGCCCCCTTCTGCAGTCTCAGAGGTCGGGGGTTCTCTTGGCCCCACCACAGCCACAGGGACTGGAGCTCCCTCAGGGACATCCATGCACCCATCAGTGCTGGGACACCTGGGCTTGGCTTACATCCCAGAAAGGACAAAGCCTGTGGCCAGGGCCAGGCCATGGCTCAGCCCCCTCCCCACTGCCCTGGGGACCCCATCACAGCTGGCCAAGCAGAGGGACCCCACTATGTAACTGGTCTTTGTTAGTGGAACATGGCATGACTACCTGTGCTGGGAATTACTAAATCACTGAGGTTGTCAGGGACCTCAAGACATCATCCAGATGTCAAGCAGGGTCAGCAGGACCTGGTTGCTCAGGACTTTGTCCAGTTGGGTTTTGAATATCTCCAATGATGGAGACTCCACAATCTCTCTGGGCAACCTGTCCCAGTGTTTGACCAGCATCACAGTAAAAAAGTGTTTTCTTACGTTCAGAGGAAGTTTCCAGTGTTTCAGTTTGTGCCTATGGCCTCTTGTATTGTTACTGGGAATGACTGGCTCTGTCCTTTTTGTAACCTCAGGTATTTATAGACATTAATAAGGTTCCCCTGAGCCTTCTCTTCTCCAGGCTGAACATTCCCAGCTACCTCAGCATTATCTCGTATGAGAGGTGCTCCAGTCCTTTAATCATCTTTGTGGCCCTTCATTGGACTCTCTCCAGTATGTCCATGTCTCTCTTGTACTGGAGAGCCTAGCACTGGGCGCAGCACTCCAGGAGTGGCCTCACCAGCGCTGAGCAGAGGGGGAGGATCCCCTCCCTCAACCTGCTGGCAATACTTTGCCTAATGCAGCCCAGGACACCACTCGCCACCTTTGCGGCGAGGGCACATTGCTGGCTCGTGTTCAACCTGCTGTCCACCAGGACCCCCAGGTCCTTTTCTCCCAAGCTGCTTTCCAGCCAGGTGGCTCCCAGCGTGTGCTGGCGCCGGGGGTTGTACCTTCCCAGGGGCAACTCCTTGTTGAACTGCATGAGGTTCCTGTCAGCCCGTTCCTCCAGGCTTCTGGAGGGCAGCACTACCCTCTGGTGTCGCAGCCTCTCCTCCCAGCAAACTTGCTGAGGATGCACTCTGCCCCATTGTCCAGATCATTAAAGAAGTTGTTAGTCAGGATCGGATCGTGTACTGATCCCTGGGGCACACCACTAGTGGCTGGCCTCCAACCAGACTTTGTGCCATTGATCACTACCCTCTGGGCCCAGCTGTTTGGCCAGGTTTCAGTCTACCTCAGTGTCTGTTCATCCCACCCATTCTTCATTAGCTTATCTATGAGGATGTGACGGAAGATAGTGCCAAAGACCTTAGCCGAAGTCAAGGTAAACAATATCCACTGCTCTCCCCTCATCCACCAAGCCAGGCACCTCATTGTAGAAGGTGATCAGGTTGGATAAGCATGAATTCCCATTTGTAAATTCATACTGAATAATCCCAATCACCTTTTTGTCCTTCATGTGTCTGGTAATGGTTTCCAGAATTAGGTGCTCCATCACCTTCCCAGGGTTTGAGGTGAGTGTGACTGGTCCCTGTCTTCCCTGCCTTGAAGATAGGAGTCACATTTGCTTTTTTCCTCAGTTTTCAGGAACCTCTCTCGATTGCCCATGACCTCTCAAAGATAACAGACAGTGGCCTCACAAAGTCAGCACTCATGGGTGCATCCCGACAGGCCCCACAGACTTAAGTATCTCCACTCCGTTTAGTGCTCCCTTACCTGGTCCTCCTCCACGACAGGTAGGTCTTCCTTACTCCAGACTTTTCCCCTGGTCTCGGGGAGTCCTGAAGGCTGATCATACCTGTAAAGACTGAGGCCAAGAGGCATCAAGCACATCAGCCGTCACTGCGTCCTTTGTCACCAGGTCCCCTGCCCCATTCACCAGAAGACTGATGTTTTCCCCAGTCCTTTTGCTGTTGATGCGCTTGAGAAGCCTTTCTTGTTGCCCTTCACATCCCTCGACAGATTCAGCTCTGGGCAGTCTTTGGCTTTCCCAACTCCATGCCTGCATGCTAGCCCATGTCTCTGTGCTTCTTCTGGGCCACCTGCCCCTGCTGCAACCACTTGTGCACCTCCTTCGTATGTCTGAGTTCATTCAGGAGCTCCTGAGTGCTGGACAGGAGCACCATCCACCTGCAGGTATTCTGAAGAAACAGTCGAGGACAGCTTACAGAGGGTGGTGAGGCAGTGGCAGAGGCTGCCCAGGGAAGCTGTGGATGCCCCATCACTGGGAAAGTTCACAGGCAGGTTCCATGGGACTTGGAGCAACCTGGTCTGGTGGAAGGTGTCCCTGCCCGTGGCAGGGGGCTTGGATTAGATGGTCCTTTCCAACCCAAACCATTCTGTGAATCTATGAAGTGCTGGTAGAGACATTTTCTTTGAGGAACTTCCCTCCTCACTCCGCAGGGTCTGTGTACGAGATCTCAGGCAACGAATGCTGCTTGTCAACGGGCGACCTGCTGAAAGTCATGGCCGTGGCGCTGCAGAAGGTCATTTGTGAGGACACGGAGACGGGGCAGACAACGGAGCTGCCACCGACATTTAAGGGTGAGCAGGGCTGCCCTTGCCCCAGCCTGCACCTTGTGGGTGTCCTCCTCCCCAGGGAGACCTTTGCAGCCCCTGTGGGCTCAGCCTCATGGTCCCACAGGTCTTTTCCAGCCTGCCCCAGCCCCGAGGCCGTGCCCAACGAGAGGGGCAAGCACCGGGGCCTGACGCTGCACCAGGTGCTGGGGAAGTGGGGTGGGCGGCCACAGCCCCTGCTCTGCCCCTCCATTGGCCCCCACACCCTGCTCCTGCACCCCGTCTATGAGGTGCACGCCGCCATGCACCGTGAGTCCGGATGGGGCAGGTGGGATGCTGCAGGGTCGGGGCAAGAAGCTGCAGGGTTCGGGGTGGGGCGCTGAGAGGTTGAGGCTGTGGGGTGGTCAGGGCAGGGATGCAGTGGGGTTGGGATGGGGCTGCTGCAGGGTCAGGAGCCTACACCAGTTTGATGCTGGGACCCCGATGCACACGGTGTGGGTGGGTGCAGGTGAAGGGGTGTGTGAGATGGGGGCCCTCTCCTGTGTGGGGCTGGTGAAAGGCTGAGCACAGGATCAGGGCAGCTCTGCCCTGCAGTGCGTCGAGACGTGGTGAAGATCCCCTCCACGCTGGAGGTGGATGTGGAAGACGTCACAAAGGAGGCACAGGATGCCCGCTTCTCCCGACCACTTCTGCTGAGCGAAGTGCTGGGCATGGAGGAGATGCTACCAGCCCAGGCTGAGATCCTGGAGGGTCCGGCTGGCCCT